CACACACATACATACACACACACATACATACATACACACATATACATACATAAATACATACATACATGCATACATAAATACATACACATATGCATACATACACACACGCATACATACACACACATACATACATACACACACATATACATATATAAATACATACATACATACATACATAAATACATACATAAACTTTAAACTTTTATTTTATTGAACTTTTGGATTATTTTGCGTGTTATCATCCTGGGATTGAGTCTTTCACGTCATTTTGTCGCAGTTTGCCTTGGTTTTTTGTTGATTTAATTAGATTTTTCAACTTTTAATTTTTTAATTCGCATGGTTAATTCATAGCGCACAGCTGTTGCTTGTTTCGTACCTGCCTCAACTGTGCGCTGCTATATTATTATTCATAACTTACCTTTATTTTTTCCATTACCTTAGAATTTTATTATAATTTCGTATTTTAAATTTTAAACGTACTTAGTTCATTTAAATTTTTATTTTGTTAAAATTACTTATCTCACCAAATCACCTGTATGGCCCCGGTTTTACACCAGTGCCCTGTTTGCTCCAATCACTACAAGATCACACTAGACGGGAAACTTTGCCGTCATGGTGGAGGGTTAAAGGCCAGGAATGCTCGGGTTCGAGGAAAAAGGTGGATGCACCACAGGTTGTGACCGGTCCGCCTCACGTAGCCGCATCTAGCGATAGACTCATCAGCGTCCGTATCAGTTTCGGAGATTCCTACCAGTTTGGATTACCCCCTTTTTTTGACAGGATGACGGCTGTTTTGAAACGCGTACCACTGCACGATCACATTCCAAAACCGTGTAGAGGAAAATGTAGCAATGCACTGCACGAGTTACTGACGGCCGTTTGTTGTGACTCCGGTGATCCCGCTCACTGGTGCAGACTTTTTTTGTTTTTTCCATACGTCCTTCAAAAACCTGCCAGAGGGGGACGCCGGGTCAACCAAGGCAACCAGATTAACAAGCGCCAGTCCAAATACTCCACGATTGAGGAAAACCACATCAACGCAAATCCACGCGGCCACAATCCTGACCGGTGGATAAATGCGGTGTTTTCTTGCATAGAGCAGCGAAACGTTTCAGCAGCCGTCAGACTTGTCTGCTCGCCCGAGGGTCTGGCAGAAAACACGCCTGAAACCTTAGAAAAACTACGGTTCATACATCCAAAAACGCCAACTGGCAGGCGTGCTTTTCCTGCGCAGGAACCAACAAGTGGTTGCGTTTCTTCCACCCAGATGCTCAAGGCCATAAAGTCTTTTGGAAATGGCTCGTCCGGAGGTCTCGACGGTTAGCGTCCTCAGAATCTCAAAGACCTACTTTCCGGCCCCCTGCCAATTGACGACCTATTAATTTCCCTAACGAAATTTATAAATTTGGTTCTGTCGGGCGCCTGTCCACCCACGGTTTGCCTTTTTTTTTTGGAGGCCGCCTGATAGCCTTGAACAAAAACGATGGAGGAGTTAGGCCAATCGCTGTTGGTAACTGTTGGCGTAGATTGCCGAGCAAATGTGCTTTGAACCTGGTAATGGATGAAATGAGGACCAAATTTTACCCGGTTCAATTGGGCGTTGGCGTGAAAGGAGGTGCTGAGGCCGCCGTTCACGCCGTTCGAAAATTGGTCACAGACCTCCCTAATCAATGGGGATTTCTAAAAATTGATTTTAAAAATGCCTTCAACGCCATGAGAAGAGATTCAATGCTGGAGGCCGTCAAATGTTTCTGTCCCAGAATATATAATTTCTGCCATTCTGCTTACGGCCTCGCTTCTTCGCTTGGCTATCACACCTGGGTGGTTGAATCGTCCGAGGGCGTGCAACAGGGTGATCCACTGGGACCTCTTCTATTTGCATTGACCCTGCATCCCTTGTTGGAAAAACTGTCGTCCGTTTTCATTTGTTGTTACCTGGACGACATCAGCATTGCTTCAAAAAGCCAAACACTGGGCGAAAACTACGAATTTTTGAAAAACGAAGCCAACACCATTGGGCTAGAGTTAAACACCAATAAATGTGAACTCAATTTTAAAGATTCACTACATTTGCCACCGGTGTTGGCGGACGTACCCATTGCTCAAAAATCAAATTTAAGTTTTTTGGGCACTCCCTTGTTCGAGGGCGACTCCCAAATTAAATTTTTTGATGAAAAGTTTTCAGAACTTAGTTCGCCCTCGATCGAGTGTCTCATCTTTCCGTCCACGACGCCCTGACTATTGTCCGAAGCGCCCTCAGTTTGCCCAAAATGATGTATTTTCTTCGTACATCCAGCTACATTAACCCATCGTTGTTGGGCAGATTTGATGATGTTTTGCGTACCGCCTTGTCAGCCATTTGCAATGTTCATTTGACTGACAGTGGCTGGTCCCAGGCTCAGCTGCCGGTGCGGTATGGTGGTCTGGGGTTACTCAGTGTGGTTCAGTTGGCACCAATCGTCTATAAATCTTCTGCCGCTGCCACTCTTGACCTCCAGTCCGCCTTGCTTTGCCGATTTTGTTGTTGCTGTGACATCCCACCACTGCTGACCACACCTGAAAGCCCTTCACAAGCTCAAATTTTAGATGAGCAATATAAGAAGACTTTTCATGAACTTTTGTCTTCTGGTGTCGGTGCTTCTTCCTCCGCCCGCTTATTGGCTGCAACTAGTGATGTTAGTTGTGGTTGGTTGAGGTCGTGGCCCAACACTTCCGTAGGCACCAGACTCGATGACGAGTCTGTTAGATTTGCCGTTGGTTTCAGACTTGGCCTAAGTATACAAAACAAATGTCTGTGTCGTTGCGGCGCGGAGGCGGACGAATTTCGTCATCATGGTTTGGTTTGCCGTATAGGTAGAGGCCGTCAACTCAACTTTGTCATTCAGCTTTGAATGATTACATTTTCCGGCTTTTTTCTAAAGCTTCTATTCCTGTTTTGAAGAAACCATCTGGCATTTCAGTGCAAGATGGCAAGCGACCAGACGGTTGTACTCTTACTCCCTGGAGAGCCGGTAAATGTTACGGTTCCTGGTACCTTGGCCGAGCGCTACGTTCACCTTACCAGCAAAGAATATGGTTTGGCTGCAATCAGGGCATCGGACGAAAAAATTAAAAAATATGAACACGCCCTGCCTTCCTTAGATTTTTTGCCAATATGTATCGAGGTTCTTGGACCCATGGACCCCAATACTTCAAAATTTATTAAAATATTGTGTAAAATGATTGGTGTTCGATCAGGTGACAACAGAGAGTTCTTTTTTGCAATAAACCACATCTCGTGTTTGTTGCAGCGATTTCTGCGTGTTTGTGTGTCGGAAAATATTAATTTAAACGCCGACGTGTGAGACTAACGATACATTAAAGTGTAAACCTTTTTAATCAGATGTTTGACTGTTTGGTGTCATTCATCACGATTTGGTTTTAAAATACATACATATATGCATACATACACACACGCATACATACACACACACATACATACATGCATACATAAATACATACATATATGCATACATACACACACGCATACATACATACACACACACACACACACACACACATACATACATACATACACACATACATACACACAAACACACAACAACAAACATTGATTAATATTATTCACAAAGCTTTTGACAAACGCGAAAAATCTTTGATTTATGGAAGACCAGATGAAGATTGAAAAAAAAAATTTCATAGAAAAATGACAAATAAATAAATAAATATCTGTGAAATTCATGAATGAAAAAACTGTCAGCTTTACATACATCTTAATAAATCATTGCCATTCTAACAAAACATCCGTGTAAGATGACCAAACGTTAAAATTTGCAAGCATATTATACAAATTAATATACATTATACACCTACCCATGGTTATTATTACATTAGTAAATAAACAATCGCGACAAAAACACACACACACATACACCCAATTACACATACACACACACATCCACAAGCATACGCACACACACACACGCACACACACAGCATGTAAATACGCAAAGACATCATACACATTGCACGCATATGACAGGCTGGGTTCTAGTTGCAATTGAACACGGGTTCTGCAGCATCAGGGCCAGGCGTCTTAACCATTGCACTATCTGGATAAAGGATGGTGTTGAAACAAGTAAGGAACAAGTAAAGATTGTTGGATGGACAGCTTCTACCGCCGCACATCTATTCAATCTGTATGTCTGACGTGTGTATGTGTACATTACAACATGATGTGTATGTGTGTGTGTGTGTGAACAGTACAACATGATGTGTGTACAATACAATACAACATACCATTATCAGGGAACACAGGCGTGCAATTTTGATAATTTTTATGAAAATATTTTTTAGTTTATTAAAAGAAAGAAGGAAGAGGAAAAAAAATGAAAGCACCAAATATGAATATGCATAAAAATGATAATGATGACGCTGGAGGTGATGGTGGGGGTATGGATGACAATGATAATGATGCTGATATGAAATATGATGGTGATAATATACAATGTGAATGAACGAATGAATGAACGAACGAATGAATGAATGAATGAACGAATGAATGAATGAACGAACGAATGAATATATGACTGACTGAATGAAAGAACATATACTATTATTATTATCATTATTATTATTATTATCATTATTATTAATATTATTATCCTCATTATCATCATCATCATTATCATTATTATTATTATCATCATTATTATTATCATCATTCACGTTATTATTACTATTATCATTATTATTACTATTATTACGAGACGCTGCATTGTCTGGGCAGGCTGGCCTCGTCTGCATCCAGCACCATCCCAGTCTGACGCCTCCTCGCTCTGCCCACCGTAGAAAAAAAAGTGGATAAGTACTGAGTATTATTATTATTATTACTGTAATTATTGTTATTATTATTATTGTTGTTGTTATTATTGTTGTTGTTGTTATTATTGTTGTTGTTGTTATTATTGTTTGTTTTTTTGTACTGGGTTTTCCAGGAGCTGTAATAGTTATCGAACTCCCCCCACGAAGATGATGAAGATGATGACGACGACGACGATGATGGCGTTTGACCTTTACCCGAAGATTTATCCACTTTGTTATTATTCTTATTATTGTCGTCGTCATCATCATCGCTACTGCAGCTACTACTGCTACTACTGCTGCTGCTGTACCAGTCGCTATACATTTTATGACGCTCATGACGACGAACATGATACTGATGATGGTGGTGGTGGTGATGATGATGGCGACAATGGCTGCAGTAATGATGATGATGATGATGATGACGTGAAGAGTGGTGATGGACGTTGAAGACGGACTTCGAACACGTGCTCCGATTCGGCACGGATGTGGAAACACTTGCCAGACCAGCCATCTCTATGTTCTCGGTATTTCGAATCGCTATTTTGCCGAATCGGTTTCTTCCATTTTCGGTGACATCATTTTTTCTTCGCGCTAAAAACAAATTTTGGTTGTAATGAATTGCTCTAGTACTCGACAGGGGTATCTCGGTATCTCGGTATGGATAGCGGTGCGGTGATATATCGGCCAGGGATGTGATGTTTGTGAAACGGTGTGCCGATACTCCGAGTCTCGGCTGTCGGTTTCGACAGGACGGTGATGATAATGATGGCGATGCTGATAATGATGTCGTTGTTGTTGTTGTTGTTTGTAGCTGGTGTGGGGGCAGATTTGGCAGGGGTGGTTGACAACTGGAAAAATTTTTGTTATTATTATTATTATTGTTATTATAATTATTATTATTATTATTACTACTACTATTACTACTACCCCAAAACTCTGAATGTTTTATGGCATTATTAACATCATTGTCGTTGTTGTTGATGTTGTTGCTGGTGATGTTGGCAAAATTATTATCCTTATTATTATTGTTTTTATTATTATTCTTGTTGTTGTTGCAAGTGATGTTGGCGAAATTATTATTATTATTGTTATTATTACTATTGCTCTTATTATCGTCATACAAGGAGAGATCAATATCGAGGACTTCGTCGTAGTGGTGGGAACTCGACGTGACGCTACTGTACAGCGCATCCCTATTTCCGGCAGAAGCGACTAGCACATCCCTATTTCCGGTGGAGGCGACCAGCACATCACTACTTCCGGTAGAGGCGACCAGCACATCACTACTTCCGGTTGAACTAACTAACGCATCTCCGCTCGCCGAAGGAACGTCAATAATAATATTATTATTGCTATTATAATTATAATTATTATTATAATTGTTATTATTTGTAGTAGCAGTAGTATAAGTAGTTGTAGAATTATAAGTATTGATAGTAGTAGCAGTGAGCAAATCAACTGGGGGCGTGTCATAATGAGGGCCAGCATCTGACTGACGTTTGCTTGAATTAGGATCACGTGACTTCATACCGCTACTAGCATCATCATCACCACCACCACCATCGTCGTCGTCATCAGTGTTGCTGCTATTGTCATCTGAATGGTAGTAGTAGTAGTAGTAGTAGTAGTAGTAGTAGTAGTAGTAGTAGTAGTAGTAGTAAGAGTAGTAGTAATATCAATAATAATTATAATAATAATTGCAAAATACCCACACACACACACACACACACACACATTGCACGTGATATAGGCGGGGATCAGCTTGCAATCGAACCTGGACACTACGACAGAGCAAGACCAGGCGCCTTAACCATTGAGCCACTATCATTAATTGCAAAAAATTATCGTAATAATTCATCGCGATTACCGATATCTTGGCGACATCTTTCGTTGTCGCTCCCATTTCTTCTGCCTTTCTTCTTCCTAGTCCACCTCTTAGCTTTCGAAATAATTAATTTATTATTATTTAAAATATTGTTGTTGTTGCTGCTGTTGTTGTTGCTGTTGTTGTTATTGTTGTTGTTGTTGTTGTATTTCCAGGAATGTACAGAGTGGAACACGTGATCGTCGGTCGAATTTTTCTTCCTATTTTTCTTGCTACAGTTCTCGCGTCGGCACATCTCCAGCCACTTTTTGATGCTTCTCTCGTGCACCTCGTCCATCCCTATTATTCTCTTTCCGGTCTCGATGACGTCATACCAGTTGGAGTATATGTCGTTGATTGGGATGGAGTAGTCGTCGTTGTTGTTGTTGTTTATGTTGTTGTTGTTGTTGTTTTTAATGTTGTTGTCGATGTTACATGAAATGTTATTGCAGATGTTGTTCGTGTTGTAGTTGCGTTGGGTTTTTTCATTGATAGCAAATGCTTCGTAGGGTTGTACGCTGTTGTTGTTGGTTGATGTTGATGTTGTTGTTGATGTTGTTGTTGTTGTTGTTGTTTTAAGATGATGCCAATGAAATTGTCGATTGTTTTGTTGCTTCTGTTTGAGTTTTTCATAAACATTGGCGTTTTTTAGGTGGCTGCAGTCGTCGGTGTGGTTGTTGTGGCTGGTGTGGCTGGTGTGGTTGGTGTGGTCAAAGTGGTTGGCGTGGCTTTTGTCGTCGTCGTTGTTACTTCTAATATTTCTATCATCATGGTCAACATCACCACTGAAGTTATTCTTGTAATCTTCGCAATAATCATCATCCTCACAGCCGCAAACTTCACCATCACAGCCATCACAGCCTTCATTATCATAATTCATTCCACCGTCCTCATTAGCATAATTTTTTCCGAATTTTCCGAATTTCTCGTGGCAGCCGCAGCAATAAACAAGCCCTTGAACGTTTACATAACTCCTCCCACCGAGCTCCTGACGACATGATTGGCAGGTGAAGTGGGTCACGTGGTAGCTTTTTGACTCCGCCTCCGTGCATTCATCCGCGAATATCAACTGCATTTTTTGTTGTTGTAAACAATGAAATTGCAATAATGAGTTGTGATTGGTTGAGATTTGAAAACTCGAAAATGACGAGAACGCTGAGACTAACGATGAAGCAACAAAGCTAGTCCTGGGGGCGTTTCAATTCTCACGCCCCCTCAAGTTCACCGCCTTTTTGTATTTTAATTATGACTAATTGTAATTATTATAATAATATTCCTCCTAATTGTAATTATTATAATAATATTCCTGCCGACCTCATCACAACCAGCGCATCTCGGCTTCAGCAGCTCGGCGTGGTGTCGTCCGCAGTAGATGACGCCATCCTGGAAAAAGTAGTTCCAGTCAATGAGGAGTTCGCGACAGACGCCGCACACAAAGCAGTGGGCGTGCCATATTTTATTAGGCCCCGCCCTCTCGGCTTTGATTGACAGTTGGCCTTCTGTTAAGGGTTCTCGACACTGTTGTGGTGATGAAGATGGTGGTGATGATGATGATGGTGATGAAGATGGTGGCGATGATAATGATGACGACGACGATGATGATGATAATGATGACGACGACGATGATGAGGATGATGATTATGATGCTGATGATGACGGTGATACTCATGTGATAAAATTTCCACATTTCGTCAATTTTTCGATTTCTTTAAATTTGGCCACACATAAAAAAAATCCCTAAAGTTTGTAGGCCATTAAAATTGAAAAAGTGGACACTCTACTACTACTACTACTACTACTACTACTACTAATTCTACTACTACAACAACTACCACTACTACTACAACAACTACTACTAGGCCTTTGAAATTGAAATAGTGGACAACGGAAGACCTGAGCACACTTCCAGCGGTCGCTACCACTGCTTGCGTCTGGTGACGTCACGCGTCTGAAGGAGCGAACGCAGCCACGGCCGAAGTTCTCATTCCTCCTCCGATGGACGAAAAGATCGAACTCTCTCTTCTCTCGCTCCGAAAGTGGATGACAGAAACTGAAAATCATTGAAATCATTACCATTACTCTGTTAGTTTTATCATTACCATTACAGTCGTATCCATTATCGTCATCATTATCATAATTTTCATCATCATCATCATCGTCGTCGTCATCATCATCGCCATTATCATTATCATCATCATTTTGCCATCATAGTTTTTATACTCATCCTCATCATTATCATCACGCAATCGCCACAAACATCATCATCACCACCACCACCGTTACAATCATCATCAACATCATCATCATCATAGTTTTCATATTCATATTCATCATCAACAACATCATCATCACCACAACCACCACCACTACCACAACAACCACCACCACCACAACAACAACCACCACCATCACCATCGTCACCTGTCGTCGAAGTCTTGTGGTGGTAGTTGGATGATTAGTTGGACGGCCTTTTCATAGTCGTATGCAAGCTGCTTCTGCTGCATCTGAGGTGAAGATGGAGGTCCAATGCAGAATGTGAATGAGAGGCATAATAAAATAAAAAAAACAGCATATTCATTCTATGTTATTATTATTTTTATTATTGTATCGGTGGTGATGATGATGGATGATGATCAGGATGAAGAAGAAGAGAATGATGATGGTGATGAAGAAAAAGATGATGATGATGGTGAAAAAGAAGATGATGATGAAGAAGATGATGATGATGGTGATTGCGATGATAATGATGACGATGATGAATACGAAAACTATGATGACAGGATGATGATGATAAGTACGATGATGATATTTTATTTATTGTTCTATAGTTCAAACTCTGTCAACAAGTTCTACAGCGACGAAATAGAAATTTAAAAATATTTACTTCTACTACTACCACTACTACTACCGCCACTAGTACTACTACTGCTGAAACCACTACTACTACTACTACCACTACTGCTACCACTACTACTACTGCTGCAACCACTACTACTACTACTACCACTACTACTACTGCCAAAACTACAGCTATTATTATATCATCTTTGATAGAGCTTGAAACAAAACCTTCACCAACCCTTGGGGAGTTGTTTCCTTATTTGTTATTTATAGATATGACGTCATGTGTCGTCATATATATATATATATATATATATATATATGACGTCATGTGTCGTCATATATATATATATATATATATATATATATATATACTAGTATACTATATATATATATATACTACTATACTATATATATATGTTTGTGTGTGCATGTATATATATATATATATATATATATATATATATATATGAGTGTGTTTGTTTGTATATATATATATGCGTGTGTGTATGCCAGTGTGTGTGTGCCAGTGTGTGTTTGTGCGTGTGTGTGTGTGTGCGTGTGTGTGTGCGTGTGTGTCTGTACAATGGCGCATGCTTGTTATTTATAAAATGACGTCACGGTGACCTTGAAATGACCTCCAGAGTATCCATCATCATTTCCAATTCTCAAATGTACATGCTTATGCACATGACACGTTCGTATGTATGTATGTGTGTATGTATGTATGTATGTATGTGTGTATGTATGTATGTGTGTGTATGTATGTATGTATGTATG